GAGTGTTGGGCAGCAATTTTTTAACTTCTTTTGGTACCAGCTGGGTATTCAGCCAGTTAGGGAAAGGTTCATTACTGCTTACAGAGCTTCCCTTTTTCTTGGCTCACAGACTTGAAGCTGTCTTTTATTCCTTTGGAATGGAAGGAACTCTCCTTTCCTGCTCTCCACATGCAGCTCCTAGGGAGCAGAAAAATCTCATCCTTCCTTGTTTTGAGATTTTGGTCATGATTTCCCTCTGCTCATCACCAGTCGTTTGAAGGAGCTCTTGGGCATCCTACCACTTTGCTGACCAAAAGCACACAAGATTGCGCCGAGATTGGCTGGGCTTCAGTGGTTCTCACACTACAACTAGATTTGTGTTCATTTGACTCATGGAGTTTGGGACAGCTTAGTGGTTTCCTGCTTGGTTATATGAGTCTCTTTTGGTCCAGGCTAATAGTTGCTTCACGTTCAGTCAGAGTAAGGATGAGAAAGTGAGCTGAGTATTCACCTCTGGAATAAATTCCACAAGACCTCCCTCCACAGTCAGAAAAACTCTTCAGGATGAAAAGGTTCTGGATTGAGGAGGAGATTTTGGGCAGTTGTAAAGTTCAAAGGAACTTGTCTGTTGTAGCCCACCTTCAACTCAATTGATGTCTAAGAAATGAAAGACTGATGGAAGATTAATCCTGTAAAGGTTCCAGTCATCGTTTTCAGGTGACCCTGGAGCCTCCTGAAATTAAACTTATCTCTCCTTTATAGTGGGAACATGGGAGTGGGTATTTGTTCACCCAAATACCCGGAGTGGGTATTTGTTCACCCAAATACCCGGAGTGGGTATTTGGAGGCATTTGCTTCTATAGTAGAAAGACATATTTAGAAAGAATGGCTACAAAGGCTGGGCCTGGTGGCTCACTCATATAACCTTAGCATTTTGGGAGGCTGAGGTGGGTGGATCACTTGAGCCGAGGAGTTCAAGACCAGCATGGGCAACACGGCTCTACCAAAAAAAAAAAAAAAAAATTAGCTGGGTATAGTGGCTCAAGCCTGTAGTCCCAGCTACTTGGGAGGCTGAGGTGGGAGGATCATCTGAGCCCAGGAGGTCAAGGCTGCAGTGAGCCATGATCACTCCACTGCACTCCAGCCTGGGCAACAGATCGAGACCCTGTCTCAGAGGAGGGGAAAAAAAAAAAGAGTGGCTGTACTCCGGTCTGGAATTAGCACAGCTGACTTGAAAAACCCAAGTACCTAGAGCTTACAACACTGACTGCTATGTTGGAAGAAAATAGACTTACAAGAATGTGTGTTCTTGTTTAAAAAGCAGGTCCTGCATGTTACAGGCAATTCTGAATCCCTTCCCCCTTGATCGAGATGATGCCCTGGGCTGCCACATCCTGCAAGCTCACTACCTTTCGGTCAACCAGAACCAAAGAATGAGGCCCAGGAACTCTGTCCTACTTGTTTTCTGATGTGTTGAAAAATGAGGAGAAAAGAAAACGTTAAGGGGAGGGTGCTAAAGATCCCTATCTCAGGTCCCTTCCCCTGAAAACCACATTAGAAGATCCTAGGCCAGGTACTGTAGCCACAGGATTTTCCTGCTCCACGCCACTATCCTGTGCCTAAGGCAGACATTGATCTTCATTCTTTCCCTGAGCTCATGCATGAGACTTGTCAAGACGGAGCCATGCTCCATCCCACACTTGTGACCTCTGCCCACAGTAACCGTGAAGAATGTGCTCTGAAAGGGTATCTTTGAAGTTCTATGATTTTTTTTTTTTTTTGAGAGGGATTCTTGCTGTGTCGCTCAGGCTGAATGGCATGCAGTGGCGTGCCTCTCTCCTCACTACAACCTCCACCTCCTGAGTTCAACCAATTCTCCTGCCTCAGCCTCTCAAGAAGCTGGGAAGCTGCGATTACAGGTGCCCACCACCACACCTGGCTAGTTTCTGTGTTTTTAGTAGAGACAGGGTTTCACCATGTTGGCCAGGCTGGTCTCCAACTCCTGATCTCAGATGATCCACCAGCCTCAGCCTCCCAAAGTGGTGCGATTATAGGCATGAGCCACCACGCCCAGCCTATGACTCATAACTTAAATTTGAGGTCTCATTTCTTGGAAAAATAAATTGCTCCAGCTGGGAACTGCTGGGTGAGGAAACATTCCAGAAAGCAACTACCCCACTGATGGGCTATTTCCAGGGCCCAAGAGAGGGAGGAGGTAAGCAGCAGAGGAACTTTCAACAGCTAGGCCCAATGCCTGGTCTAGTTCCCAGGCAATAGTGAGAATACGAGTGGTGGTAATTCACAGAGAGCTTACTAGGCACTAGGCATTGTGCTAAGGACACCATGTAAGTTCTTTCATTTAATCCTCATAACCGTATGAGGCAAGTAATGTCATTATATATACCTTTTAATATACAGGTGGCCCTCCAGATCTGTGGGTTTTGCATCTGCAGATTCAGCCGACTGCAGATTGAAAATATTTGTGGGGAAAGAAAACAATAATAATAATACAATTAAAAATAATACAAATTTTAAAATAATACAGTATAACAACTATTTACATAGCATTTATGTTCTATTGGGTATAAGTCATCTAGAGATGATTTGAAGTATATGGGAAGGCTGGGCAGGGTGGCTCACGCCTGTAATGCCAGCACTTTGGGAGGCCCAGACGGGTGGATAACCTGAGGTCAGGAGTTTGAGACCAGCCTGACCAACATGGTGAAACCCTGTCTCTACTAAAAATACAAAAATTAGCCCGGCGTGGTGGCGGGCGCCTGTAATCCCAGCTACTTGGGAGGCTGAGGCAGGAGAATCACTTGAACCCAAGAGGCAGAGATTGCAGTGAGCCGAGACTGCACCATTGCACTACAGCCTAGGCAACAAGAGCGAAATTCCAACTCAAAAAGATAAAAATAAATTTTAAAAATGAAGTATATGACAGGATGTGCATAGATTGTATATAAACTCTGCCATTTTATATACGAGATTTGAGCATCTATAGATTTTGGTATGCATGGTAGGTTCTGGAGTCTATCCCCCATGGATACCACAGGATGACTGCATGAAGAAACTGAGGCCCAGGGAGGTCAGGTGACTTGACCATGATTTTCTCTTAATGTTGGAACCAGAATATGAGCCCAGGCCGTCTGATGGTGGGGACTATGCTCCTAACTACTGTATCCCACAATACTGTCAAAGTTTTCTTTTTTTGTTGTTGTTGTTGTTGTTCTTTTTTTTTTGAAATGGAGTTTTGCTCTCACCCAGCATAGATCTGATTTTTATTTTTATTTATTTATTTATTTTTTGAGATGGAGTCTCACTCTGTCGCCAGGCTGGAGTATAGCAGCATGATTTTGGCTCACTGCAACCTCCGCCTCCCGGGTTCAGGTGATTCTCCTGCCTCAGTCTCCTGATTAGCTGGGACCACAGGCATGGGCCACCACACCCAGCTAATTTTTTTATTTTTAGTAGAGCTGGGGTTTCACCATGTTGGCCAAGATGGTCTCTATCTCTTGACTTCGTGATCTGTCTGCATCAGCCTCAGCCTCCCAAAGTGCTGGGATTACAGGTGTGAGCCATATCCAGCCAGATCTGATTTTTTTTCTTTTTGAGATAAGAGTCTCGCTCATGTCGCCCAGGCTGGAGTGCAATGGTGCAATCTTGTCTCACTGCAAGCTCCACCTCCCAGGTTCATGCCATTCTCCTACCTCAGCCTCCCGAGTAGATGGGACTACAGGCATCCGCCACCACACCCGGCTAATTTTTTGTGTTTTTAGTAGAGACAGGGTTTCACCATGTTAGCCAGGATGGTCTACGATCTCCTGACCTCGTGATCCGTCCACCTCGGCCTCCCAAAGTACCAGCATGAGCTACCGCACCCAGCCCTGAGTTTTATAAACAGGGTTTCACTGTCACCCAGGCTACAGTGCAAGTGCAGTGATATGATCATGGCTCACTGCAGCCTCAACCTCCCAGACTCAAGTGATCCTCCCAAGTAACCTTGACTACAGGCACATGCCACCACGCCCAGCTAATTTTATTTTTTGGGGTCTCACCACATTGCCCAGACTGATCTCACATTCCTAGCCTCAACTTTAGTCTCCTAAATTGCTGAGATTACAGGTGTGAGCTACCATGCCATACCTGATCTGACATCATTTTAAATGATATGAGGGAAGATGTAGGGAGTTAACTAAAAAAGCACCGGCCTCATTCAATATTTTCTATATTTGAAGTCCTACTTTGACCTTTCTTAGCCATGTGACTTTAGACAAGGTACTTCTCCAAATCTCAGTTTACTCACCTACCTCTTATGAGGATTAAATGAGATAATCCGTTAAAGCCCAGAGGGTGGAATATCTTAAATGCCTATAAATTCAACCTGCCATCTTTCCTCTCACCTGGCCCTGCTCTGAAGATGGTGGATTCTTTTGGGACAGGATCTCACTCTGTCACCCAGGCTGGAGTGCTGGGCTCAAGCAGTCCTCCCACTTCAGCCTCCCGAGTGCTGGGACTACCGGTGTGCACCAGGTGGTGGATTCTCAAGTCTTCTGTATCCAGCAGTATCACTGGCTCTTCCTGAGCCCAGAGAGCTGCCCATGAATAGCACTGGGAGCACTGAAGCTCGTTGAGAGTCACTTTTATTGGGAACCATAGTTTTAGAAACAGCAAAATAATTATTTCACTGGATTGGTTCCAGGAGCCCAGAATATGGGTGGCCCCCTAATCTCCAAACTGATCAATGACCTTCTGTATCCACTTCTTCAGGCGGAACACGTGTGTGTAGAAGCCATATTTCCCATCCCGGTCACAGCCTTCACCCCATGAGACGATGCCCATTTGATACCAGCGTTTGTTTAAGGGGTTCTGAAGAAGAAAGATGAGGTTTCCAATAGAGTCAGGTTCAAGGCCACATCAGTATTCCCCTGCCAGGCAACTGTTTCTAGATACAAGAGTTTCTCCCCATCCCCAGATGAGTTCACCAGGCCCTGGGCTTTAGAGAAGCTTACCTTCATGACAAAGGGTCCCCCGCTGTCGCCTTCACAGGCATCCCCTCGTTTCCCTTCACCAGGCTTGTAACCTGAGAGAAAACAGCCGTCCGTGCTCAGGAGCATAGCTCGTAGCCCAGCCACACCCCTTCATGAGACACAGCTGGTGATAGTCCACTTACCCCTCCAATCATTCTTGCTCTCCTTACTTCCTCGCCCTATACATCCAGTCCTAGCAAATCTTGTTGGCTCTACCTTCAACATAGATCCCAAGTCCAACCCCTTCTTACCATTTCTAGCTCCAGCTCCTGAACCACTAGTTTCCTTCATTCTTTGCCCACCTACAATGTATTCTCCGCCCAAGAGGCAGAATAATGCTTTTAAAAAGTTGGACCAGGCCAGGGTAGGTGGCTCATGCCCAAGCCGGGTAGATCACTTGAGCTCAGGAGTTCAAGACCAACCTGGGCAATATGGCAAAACCCTGTCTCTACAAAAAATTAGCTGGGTATGGTGGCACATGCCTGTAGTCCCAGCTACTTGGGAGGCTGAGAGAGGAGGATCCCTTGCGCCTGGGAGGTTAAGGCTGCAGTGAGCCGTAATCATGTCACTACACTCCAGCCTGGGCGACAGAGTGAGACCCTGTCTCAAAAAAATCAATAATGAAAGACCAAGAAAAATTAAAAAATTAAAAAGTTAGACCTACAAGTCTGATGAGGATAATAATGGTAGTTGCCTTTACCCAAATCTCCCCAAGTAACCTCTACAAACAATATAGAACAACACTAACAACAATAAAACCTACACAGAAAAACCACACCTTCACCAGGCGCTGTGGCTCATACCTATAATCTCAGCACTTTGGGAGGCCAAGGCAGGCAGATCATGAGGTCAGGAGTTTAAGACCAGCCTGGCCAACATGGTGAAACCCTGCCTCTACTAAAAATACAAAAATTAGCCAGGCATAGTGGTGTGCACCTGTAATCCCAGCTACTCAGGAGACTGAGGTAGGAGAATTGCTTGAACCCGGGAGGTGGAGGTGGAGGTTGCAGTGAACCGAGATTGCACCACTGCAGTACAGCCTGAGTGACAGAACAAGACTCCCATCTTGAAAAATAAAATAATTAGCTGGACATGGTGGCATGTACCTATGGTCCTAGCTATACGTGGGAGGCTGAAGCAAGAAGAGAATTGCTTGAGCCCAGGAGTTCAAGGCTGCAATGAGCTATGACTGTGCCACTGTACTCCAGCCTGGGCAATAGAACAAGACCCTATCTGGGGAAAGAAAAAAAAAAAAAAAAAAGCTAGCAAGAGAACAGCAAAGTAAACCAGACAGAAACATAAGAAAACTTTTTAAGAGATAAAAGCAGAAATTAATGAACCTCAATAGAAAAATAA